GACTCTATTCTTGTGACACTACCAAGCTGTTTTGATTACTACAGCCTTGTAGTATAGTTTGAAGTCTGGTAAATTGATACCTCCCATTTTGTTTTTATTGCCTAGTATTGTTTTTGCTATGTGGGGTCTTCTCCGGTCCCATACGAAGTGTAAAAGTAATTTTTCTAGATCTATGAAAAATGATGGTATTTTAATAGGGGTTGCATTGAATCTGTAGGTCACTTTGGGTAGTATGCACATTTTAACAATGTTGATTCTGCTGACCCACGGGCATGGTATGGTTTTCCACCTGTTTACATCCTCTGCTATTTCCTTCCTCAATGTTTCATAGTTCTCCCTGTACAGGTCTTTTACCTCCTTAGTTAAATATATTCCTAGGTACTTTATTTTCTTTGTTGCTATCGTGAAGGGAATTGAGCCTTTGATTTGGTTCTCAGTTTGACTGTTTTTGGCGTATGTGAATGCCTCTGATTTTTGTGTATTGATTTTGTATCTTGAGACTTTACTGAGTTCATTTATCAATTCCAGGAGTCTCTTGGTTGAATCCTTGGGGTTTTCAAGTTATAATATCATATCATCAAGAAAAAGTGAGAGTTTGATCCCTTCTGCCCCCATTTGGATGCCCTTAATTCCACTCTCTTGACTGATTTCTCTAGCAAGGACTTCCAGAACCATGTTAAATAGAAGTAGAGATAGTGGGCAACCTTGTCTGGTTCCAGTTCTAAGTGGGAATGCTTTCAGTTTTTCTCCATTCAGTATGATGTTGGCTATGGGTTTGTCATATATGGCTTGTATCATTTTTAGGTAAGCCCTGCCTTGCCTATTTTGTTAAGCGTTCTTATCATAAAAGGGTGTTGAATTTTGTCAAATGCTTTTTCTGCGTCTATTGAGAAAATCATATGGTTCTTGTTTTTGCTTCTGTTTATGTGGTGAATTACCTTTATAGATTTGTGTATGTTGAACCATCCCTGCATCTCTGGGATGAAGCTCACTTGGTCGTGATGGATTATTTTCTTGATAAGCACCTGGACTCAGTTAGCTAGGATTTTATTGAGAATTTTTGCATCTATATTCATAAGGGATATTGGTCTGTAGTTTTCCTTTTTTGTGGTGTCCTTTACTGGTTTTGGTATCAGGGTTATGTTGTCTCCATAAAATGTGTTGGGGAGGATTCCATCCTTCTCCACGTTGTGGAATAATTTCTGCAGGATAGGCACCAGTTCTTCTTTGTAGGTGTGGTAAAACTTGGGTGTGAAACCATCTGGCCCGGGACTTTTCTTTTTAGGAAATTTTTATTGCTGTTTCAATTCCAGTACCTGATATTGCTCTCTTCAGGAATTCTATTTCTTTCTGGTTGAGCATAGGGAGGCTGTGTGTTTTCAGAAATTTGTCCATTTCCTCCACATTTTCCAGTTTGTGTGCATAAAGGTTTTTGTACTTATCTCCAGTGAGAATGGCCTTTATCAAAAAGTCCCAAAATAATAAATGTTGGCGTTGATGTAGAGAGATAAGAACACTCTTACACTGCTGGTGGGACTGCAAAGTAGTGCAACTTCTGTGGAAAGCAATATGGAGATATCTTAAAGAGATACAACTAGATCTACCATTCGATCCAGCAATCCAATTACTGGGCATCTACAGAAAAGAGCAAAAGACATTCTATAAAAAAGACACCTTCACTAGAATGTTTATAGCAGCACAATTCACCTTTGCAAAGATGTGGAAACAACCCAATTGCCCATCAATACATGAGTGGATTAATAAAATGTGGTATATGTATACCATGAAGTACTATTCAGCTATAAGAAACAATGCTGATATAGCACCTCTTGTATTTTCCTGGATAGAGCTGGCACCCATTCTACTAGGTGAAGTTTCCCAAGAATGGAAAAATAAGCACCACATGGATGCACCACCATATTGGTTTCACTGATCAACAGCTAAGTGCAGGCGTTGGGTAGATGGGAGTGGGGAGGAGGGGATGGGTGTATACATACATAATGAATGCAATGCGGACCATCTGGGGGATGGACACGCTAGAAGCTCTGTCTCAGGGGGGAGTGGAGCAAGGAAGCATACATAACCTAAACATCTCTACCCCCTTATTATGCTGAAATAATAATAATAAAAAAAAAACATTTGCACTCGGATGTTCATAGCAGCATGATTCACCATTACAAAGATGTGGACACAACCCAAGTGTCCATCAATACATGAGTGGATTAATAAAATATGGCATATGTATACTATGGAGTACTACTCAGCCACAAAAAACAATGGTGATCTGGCACCTCTTGTATTATCCTGAATAGAGTTGGAGCCCAGTCTTCTAAGTGAAGCATCACCAGAATGGAAAATCAAGCACCACATGCACTCACCATTAAACTATCATTAATTGATCAACAGTTATGTGCAAATACAGAAGTAGCATTGATAGAGTGTTGGGCAGATGAGAGGAGGGAGGAAAGGATGGGTAAATTCACACCTGATGGGTACAGCACGTGATGTCTGTGTGTTGAGCATGATTGTAGTACCGACGTGGGTGGTGCAAAAGGAATATATATATCCAAAGTGTTTGTACACCCATAATATTCTGAAATTAAAAAAAGGAAAAATTAAAAATAACACCAATGTCATTTATTTCATTTATCCACATACACTAATCAGCTGATATATTGTTACTATTGTTAATCTAAACAGTTATCTTTTAAATCAGTTAAGAATAAGGAAGCTTTTTATTTGACCTTTATTTATTCCTTCTCTGATGTCCTTCCTTATGTAGGCCCAAGTTTCTAACTTATATAAGTTTTCAGTAATTGTTGGAACAAAATAGACAGAAAATGTGTAAGAACATAGACGGTCTGATGCCCATTATATGCAGAGAATCACTGTAAATTTTCAATACATTTCATTTTTTAAAATTCCCAGCAAACTAGAAAGATATCATAATGTTCTCCATTAGTTGAAGACAATCTACAAAAAGCCTAGAGCTAGGATTACCTTCAATGGTAAAATATGGAATGCTTTCTACCTAGGGCCAGGAGCAAGGCAAAAATACATTATTTCACATTTCTGCTCAATTTTTTCTATTAGACATTTAAACTATTGCAAGAGAATAAGGGAAAGAAATAAAAGGCATAAGAATTTAAAAGGAAGAAATAAAACTTCTTTGCTGCAAACAAATGAAGATCAATGTAGAAAATTCTAAGAATTCTGTAAAAGAACCAAAAATATAATTGACAGGTGAACATACCATGGTTGTAAGACACAAGTCCAATATATAGAAATCAATTGTATTTTTCTGTACGAACAGCAAACACAGGAAAATGACACTAAGTCAAGTACCTTCTCAACAGCATCAAAAGATATAAAATATTTGGAATAAATTTAATGAAAGGTACATTGAAAACTACAAAAGATAGATGAGAAAAATTAAAGAAGAACTAAATAAACAGAGACATGTTAACATGTTCATAGATCAGAAAACTCAAAATCATTATTTTATTCTATTGGTTATAATTCAATACTACCATTGTTGATATTTTAGCTGAAATTTCTCAGCTTTGGGGAGCCCCTTTCACCTTTGGGAGCTCCTGTGTCTTTTTTATATTTCTCATCATTTCTTAAGCATGTCTTTGTTTTCTGGCACTGAAAAATATTAAGTTCATCTTGTATTTTCTTTGCCCCAGTCCTAGAATATAATATATGAATGAATAAATCTGGGCCTCCTCAAAATTGAAATGAACAAGAATACAGACCACAGATTGGGACAATGTATATGCAAAGCACATATCAAAACATTGACGAGTACCTAAAACATACAAAGAACCCTAAAAACTCAAAAATAAGAAAACAAACACCTAGTATAAAAATTGTCAGAAGCCTCAACAGATAATTCACAAAGAGGATATATACATGGGGAATAAGTACAGGAAAAGATGCTCAAAGTCATTACCCATCAGGGACAGGCAGGATGGGGTCCCCCGGCACATTTATCAGAATGGTGAAACTCAGAGACACTGATACGGCCAGGTGCGGGGAGGTGGGGCAATGATGCAGAGGAACTGGGACGCTCCTGCATTCCCGGCAGGAAGGCACAAGGGCACAGGCATTCTGGAAAACGCTTTGGCAGTTTCTGATACAAATAAAGGTGCATTTACCATGTGACCCAGTAGTCACTCTCCTGGGTGTTTACTCTAGAGAAATGAAAACAGCCAGCCATTTGGAAACCCATACTCCAGTGTTGGTAGCAGCCTCGTTTGGGTTAGCCTAAAGCTGGAAACCACCTTTGATGGACGGTCGGGGAAGCAAACTGTAGTCGTCCATGCGGTGGAATACCACTGAGCAATGGAAGGGAACAACCTGTGGATGCAGGGAACATCGTGGATGAATCTCAGAGACATCATGCTGATCGCCAGAAGCCAGTCTCAAAAGGGTTGCATGCTGTGTGATTCCATCTATGTAACGTTCTAGCACAGGCAAAAGTACAGTGACAGAACAGATCATTGGTTGTCAGGGGTTATGGTGGAGTGAGGGTGCGACAGTGGAGGGAGGACAGCACGAGGGAGTTTTACAGGGTGGGAGAGCTCCTCTGTGTCCTGCCCGCGGCCGTGAGGATCTACACGTGTGTTAGAACTCATGGAACTGTATGCCAAAGGAAGACAGTCACTTTTACTGTGCCATAATTAATAAAAGAAAAAGGGAGAACTGGGAGGCAGGGCAGGAGGTAGAAGAGATGACACAAGGGAGCCAGGCCAGGTGACGCCCCCAGGGCTTATCCTCCGGGCTTGCATGCGGGCGAGACAAGGTCTTTCTGGTAGGACAGTAACATACTCAGAACTCACCTGGGCATGGTGGCAGGGACGGGGTAGCATTGCGTGCCCAGCATCAGTCTGCCAAGTTCACTAACGCAGCCGGGGTCCCTGGAAGCCCAGGCAGCTGAACTTTCTGGGGACCCGTTCCCAAGTGGGTCCCCAAAGTACCTCCAGCAGGTTGCGGAAATGTTTCCTGAGAAGCGGGTATGGTGGGGTGTGATGCCAGTGAGCGGGGCAGAGCCTGAGTGAGTGTAGGAAGGAGGGAGGGAGGGACCTCAGGAAGAGCAGAGGCTGGGGGCCAGATGCAGGGCTGTCGCGGAAGGAGGAGGGACTGACTGACTGACTGACGATGGAACGTGTGTTTCCCCAGCATCAGGCCCTGTAGCAAGCAGACTGTACCTTCTCTTTCCCGCGCTGTCCCCACAGCAGTCCTGGGAGGAGGGACCGTCCTTATTCAGGCTGGCGCTGTCTTAACTGGAGAGACCCAGCAAGGTGTGGACAACGCCTTCCACCGGAAGCTGGGGTGGAAGCTCTAAAGAGACTTCGTCTCCCCTCCTTGCCTCAGGTTGTGTGTGTTCCCCTGTCGATTCTCACGTCCTTCCTGTGCCTGGTGGTCCTCTATTGCATCATGTGGTCTTTCCTGTTGTTGCGCTCGATGGATGTGATTGCAGAGCAGCACAGGACTCAGATAACAATGGCCCTGAGCTGGATGACCATCATCGTGCCTCTTCTCACTTTTGAGGTGGGCTTCCTACGTACGGGAAGCCTCCGCAGCCCCTTAGGACCACCCTTCCGTCCCACAGCCTCCTGCCTACCTGGAAAGGCAGCCTCCTATCCCTCAAAATTGCAACGAGAGCACACCTCCAGGGTAGGACGTCTGTCCGAGGAAAATGTCCTTTCCTTCTCCTTGGGGGAGGACAGGGGCTGCAAGTGGGGAGTGCAGCTTTCCAGTCCTGATGCGCCCATATGTCTTGAGGTCCTACTTTTTGAAAGGGCAAGTTGGATATTGGATTTTCATATTTGAGTTCTGTGGAGAATTCTAGAATGGCCACCATTGATCCTTTGAACAAACACCCGGAAGAGTTTCCCATAAAACTCCTGGAGCCAGAAACTTCTCAGGTGGAGGGACTTTTGCTTAACCCTAGAGAGGGATGTGAAAGCTCATCTCATGGAAGCCCCTGAGGATGGGTGGTCTTCGGCTGAGACCCGAGGTGCTCACCTTCCCGCTTCTGGGAGTTCACTGGGCAGGGGCCACCTGATGAGATGCAGCTTCCAACATTGTCCACTTTCCGTCATTGTGTCAAAAGGACCTTGTCTGTGTCTCTCTCTTTAGATTCTGCTGGTTCACAAACTAGACGGCCACAATGCGTTCTCCTGTATACCCATCTTTGTGCCTCTGTGGCTCTCCTTTTTCACGCTGATGGCAACCACATTCGGACAGAAGGAAGGAAACCAATGTACGTACTCGGCATGTCAGAAGCCCTTCACATGTGTGTCTGCGGGGGTGCAGGGGTCCCTGAACTATGAAAGCATGAGTCTGAGGATGCTGAGTTAGAGGTTTATGGAGGAAAGGAAGGGCTGAGGATGTTCTAGGACCTTCCAAGGGAAGGGCGCGCTGTCCCCTGGCCTGCACCATGGCTTTCCTCCAAGTGCTCCCTGCCATTTGAGGGAGGAACAAACAAGGCAAGCAGCGTCTCACAGCTCCCCTTTCTTCCTCTGCAAAATTGGGATCAAGATACGTCCTTGCAGGGCTTGTGAGGAGTAGATGAAAAGTCCACATCTCCCACCTGAACCCCGAGATCATCCTAGGTCCCTTTTTGCCCTCCCCTTCCCCAGTGTCCTTGCTGACATCACTGAGTGTGGTTAGGTGCACCTTGCGTGCCCTCTCTTCCTCTCTACCTGCACACAGTGCCACAAAGCATTGAAACGATCTGTAAGGAGGGTCCCTTCCTCATGGGACTGTGAGCTCCATTGCTTGGAACCCCAGAGCACTGCCCTTCTGGAAGCAAGTAGGGTGGGAGCAGTGCCTAGACTGCAGCCCAGGCAATGCTTGCTGCTTGTGTCCCAGGACAGCCAGCACAGAGCCAGTGGTTGGGTGGTGCACAGAGAGGAGGAGTGAGCCTTGGGGAAGTAGCTTTAGGGTGGACCCTGGCCTGGACCAACGCCTGCCTGCCCCCTTCCCAGATTCCACAGGGTGACAGAAATCCTCTTCTAGGATGACACTCTTTGTCATTCAAGAGCTTATCCTGGGCATGGAAGGTTAGAGGAAGAGAGCGAGCACGATCTAGGTATTTGAGACTCACTAGGGCAGTGGTTCTCAAACTTGAGCACCCACCAGGATCCCTATAGGCCAGGAAAAGTGGGCAGCCTCAGCCCACGCCAGCCCAACCCACAGTTTCGGATTCAGGAGTTCAGGGCTGGGGCCCTAGAATTGCATCCTGAACAAGGCCCTGGGGATGGTACCGCTGCCGGCCTGGGAACCCCACTTTGAGGACCCCAGAGCTAGAGGTCATACTTTGGCCCCTTATTGGGTTGAGGCCCTGTAGAGTCTTCGTATCTGAGTGAGCTCTCTGGAGAAAATGGACTTCTTGTTCAGGAAAGAAAGGTAACGTGAAAGTCACTTGGGCCTAACGTTTGAAAAAGAAAATTCTTATTTTTCAGGGTGGTTTGGTATTTGCAAAGATTTCTGTCAGTTTCTGCTTGAAATCTTCCTATTTTTGCGAGAATACGGAAACATTTCCTACGATCTCCATCACGAAGATGATGAAGAAACTGAAGAAACCCCAGTTCCGGAACCTCCTAAAATCGCTCCTATGTTTCGAAAGAAGACCAGGGTGGTCATCACGCAGAGCCCTGGAAAGTATGTGCTGCCCCCTCCCAAATTAAACATCGAAATGCCCGATTAAACGCCACCTCGGGGGACAGCACGTAAGTGGACGGGGACGCACGCTCTCTCCACCTCCCTCTGCCGCCTCTTCACCCCCGGCCCATTTCCGGAAGTGGAGCTGGGTCTCCAGGTACGTCCGTCTCATGCCTTGTTCGCATCCAACGCCTATCAGCCACTCAGCACGAAGGGACGCAGAGGTGGCAGGTGACTGGTCAGGGTGTGTGTCAGTGGACCTGGTTGCCAGGGAGAGTGGGAGACGGAGCACCGATTTACATCCGTCTGGGTGGGAGCCTTAGGCGTTTGGTCATCCCCATCAGACCCAGTGGGGTGGCTGGCTGATGAGCCCCGCAGAAGGGACATCTCTCTGCATGGCTGGTTTTCAAAGTGCTGAAAGTTCTGATCCAAAGTGTTGCTCCAAAATGTATTTTCCCACAGGGCCAGCCCCCACGTGCAGCTACCAGTTGTCCCGGTCGTGGCGTAGTCAGTAGGAACTATAAGGATGTCTCTAATGCACCGAGTGTTTAGACACAGCACAGTCCTCCTTTTTCCTGTTCCTACCGTGGAAGTAGTTTCTCTCTGGGCATGCTGACAGCAGTTTTTAAGAGCCTCACTTCACGGGTGAGTCCTTTCTAAGGAGTGACTGCATGCCTGTATAGTACTTATACAAATATTTTAGCATCGTCATATACGGTGTTAACGCCTAGTTCTGTACAGTATACTCTGTTAAAGTATTTTTTTACAAGCTTGTGCTGGAGACGAGGTGTTCCGCTGCAGAAGTAGAAGCCCGTGGCACGCCTGCCCCACCCCAGCGGGGTGCCACGCCTTCACGGCACATTGCCCTTTCCGCCCTGGAATTCCTCCAGGTACTCCCTTACCCCTCCTGCCAGAACAGCCACAGCAAAAAAGAAGTGTTTTGCACTTTTCTGACGTTCTGGGAATACTGGTTAGCCGAAAACCTGTAAGGCGCTACTGGACTCCAGGACACTGGAGGATGTTGCCCAGAGCAGAAATGGCGTCCATGTTAAGGCTCAAGCTTTCTGTCTGCCAGCAACAGGGAGGCTTTAGAGGAGGCGCGATGCTTTCACACGTGAGTGCGGATTCTCCAGGCACCGCGGGTACAGCCGTGAGTCACATGCTACAAGTGAGATATCCTGCTGCGTGAAATCAAATCAGTCATTCATTTAAAAGAGGGTAAAAGCGGGCGTCGATATACTCAGCCTGGAGAGAGGTGTGCAGTGTTAACATGGCAGCTGCTCACCGGCCTAAGTCGCTTTAATTCCAGTCCAGCACATACAGGCCTTCGCCCTGCAACGCGCCTCCAGGGAGCTTGTTCTGTTTGGGGTAAGGGGGAATGGAAAAGTGTAGCCTTACCTGCTCAGTGTGTAAAAAGTGTAACTAAATCCACTATTTTTACTCTCTTAAGCTGTTCAATAAACTGGCTCTTCATTTCACACGGGCACTGTGTGCATGTCCTTTTGTTGGTGGTCTTGGAAACCGGAATTGTTCTCAGCCAGAGCAAAGGGAATCCCTAGCTGCCACAGGCAGCCGAGGCTGGCCGGGGTGGGCGAACATCCACATCATTAAGCTCGGTGCTCAGAATCAAGTAGGGGAGTTTGTGGACAGGTGGCCCCGTATGTGGGGACACTGTGTGACACAGAGGCTGCTTTGGATGGACGCCTCTCCCTTGACCTGCCAGCACCACACCCGGGAGGAAGGATGGCAGAGATGGAACGCGGGGCTTATACCTGCACGGATCTCTCTGGAGATGTCGGCTAAAGAAAATAAAATGTGCGTGAAGGCCGGTGGCCAGATGCCTTGTTAGGGTGTGACGATGAAGGCCCAGGGTGTAGAGGGGTGTCTCTGCTTGGTGGGTCGGGGGGCAGGGCCTGTATGAGTGCAGGCTGAGGGAAGGTGGGAAGAAGGCCACCATCTGCCATTGGCTGTCTCCTGCCCAGCAGTATGGGTGTGTTAGGAACATCTCTGTGGAGGACATCCCAGGATGGTGACAGTGTTAAAAGCATGATGTGGCTGCAGCCAGAACCACGGGGACCATGCTAGACTTTGATCCATGCTTAAAAGCATCAATCCTATGCTGTGGTGTATGGGCCAACGTCCCCATCAGCGAGCCCTGACTTCTTTAGTCAGTGCTGCACTGTGGTCCTGCCTGGCCCCAAGACCTCTAGGACAAGTAGACAAGGGGACATTCCATGATCTGCACCTACGGTATAGCAGGTCACCGGAGACACTAGTGTGTACCAACGTCAACTTTCCCATCAAAATGACTGTGCGTGGACCAGAAAGTTGACATGCTGACAGGTCACTCGTCTGGCCTGGCCTGGCCTGGTCCTTTATTCAGTCATGCGCTGGGTGTATTGTGATGTCACCCCAAGTAGCCTGAGCCCCTTTGTGATGCCCGCAGCTGCGTTATTACCAGGGGTGCTGCTGGCTGTGCCACACTCCTGGGCTTACATGACCGAAGGACGAGCATCACTTCTCATTGCGAGATGTGAGGAAAGTAGTGCTGGGAGCTGGGGGCACAGCTCGCAATGGTGCCTTTTCCTCCAAAAGCAAGGGCTCCCCCAAGGAATGCAGAGAAGGACCGCCATAAAGCAGAGCCGTCCGGTGCTTGGGACGACCCGACAGCCACTGGGTGCCCTGACATCAGGCCACTGCTTGAAGAAATTTCTTTCTGAGCTGTGGCCGAAGAGCCTTTGTTGAGACGGCCGTGCCCTGTCTATGACATCCCATG